GAGTCCATGGCTGAGCCACTTGCAGAGCAGCAAGATTTCGAGTCCATGGATCTGGAGCAAATATTCGATGAAGTGGGCGGCATGCCAGTGCCGGGCCCACGGGCCGGACGCGACATTTTGGTGTTGCTGAGCGGTCAACTCCCGTTGCGCACCATTGCCAGAACGTTCGCTCAGGTGCAGCAGCGCGTCGCAGACCAAATCGGCTTGAATGTGGAAGACGTGCTTCTTTACAGCTTAGACCGAGTTGAGGTCACAAGTACAAGCATTGCGGAGGCTTACGGCAACTCCACTCGAATCGTGCTTCTTGCTTGCACGCCACGCGAGATCCGGTATAAGCGATTCGGTGAGGTCATCCGTGCTGCAGGCCTGCCGCCCAACTGGCTGCAAGACAATGCGGAGAACGGCATTGTCGCGAAGGACACGTTCTGCCAGCAACTTCGATTGATTTTGGCAATGTGTTGTTGTGTTCGTTGGATCAAAGCGAGAGATTACCTGCTGTGCCCGTCAATTTTCCGACCAGGCTTGTTAGAAAAGACGCCCTATCTGGCCCAGATAGGCTTGTTTTACAGAAAAACGCCCTATCTGGCCCAGATAAGCTTGTTTTGTGTTTTTGGGCTGGGTTGCAGCCAAATCACCGCAAAAAAGCTTTATTTGGCCCTTGGTTTTCGGCCCAATTCGTGGTTTTCGACTCCCACCAAACGAAAAAGGCCTTATCTGGCCCAGATAGGCTTGTTTCGCAAAAAGACACCTATCTGGCCCAGATAGGCTTGTTTTGTGTTTTTGGGCTTGGGTTGCAGCAAAATCATCGCAAAAAAAAATATTTGGTCCAGATAGGCTTGTTTTGGGTTCTGGGGCTTGGTTTTCGGCCCAATTTGTGCTTTTCGACTCCCACCACACCAAAAGGGCCTTATCTGGCCCAGATAGGCTTGTTTTGCAAAAAGACGCCCTATCTGGCCCAGATAGGCTTGTTTTGTGTTTTTAGGCTTGGGTTGTGGCCAAATTCGTGATTTTCCACGCTTGTTTGGCTTCTGTGGCGTGGTTTTCGGTCAATTTCGTGATTTCCGACACCACACCAAACGCCCTATCTGGCCCAGATAGGCTTGTTTTGGGGTTGGGCTTGGGTTTCGGCCTATGTGGCCCAGATAGGCTTGTTTTGGATTATTGGAATTCCGACCATGCCAAGGTTTCTGCAACAGCATATACCGGCTTGGTGGGACAAGTGTTTCGGCCTGGGCGAATCCCGCACTACGGCGGTCAGTCGAGATCGGACTCCTCATGCTCCTCGCAGTCCGCCCGAGCTTGCCAACACGGACATCTCAGACTTTTGCAACGACCTCTCTACCGATCATGGTCATGGCATCCGAATTTCCGCCATCGAGACATTATGCAATGAAGTCTTGGAGTGTGCAGTTGTCCAAACAGGGCTGCACGAGGGCCCAAGCATCTGTTCACCAGTCTTGCTTCGATTGACAACAGGTTTCGAAGTCACATGTTTGGAGCCACCGGAGACGCTGTCCAGTGGCATTGTGCGCAGGAAAGTGAGATGTGGAGAGCTTTCCGGTTATGTTACCATCCTATCTTGCTTTGGGACACAGTACTTCCGTCCCTCTTGGCCTTTTTTTGAAGCCCCTTTAGAGCCGGTGCTTGCTAGAGCGAAACTCCGTGCGGCTCGAAAGGAGGAAGACAAGGCGATAAACACTGCCTTGAATATCACGAGCGAGGAACTTGCTATGGACCTTCCTGCGGATGAAGAGCTCCGCAAGACGATAAGGCGACCAAGACCATCTCCTCGCACTGACCACGCTAGAATGGGCAGCAGGCTAAATGGGAGTGTAGGGTTTTGGGTTTAGGGGTTAGGGAAACTTGTTCAAATATTGGGGTCAGTCTTACCTTGTATCCCTGTTGCAGGGTGGCGAGCGTCATGAGAACCATCCAGAAGCTGCAGAGCAGCAAAACTGCAGACCAGCTCTTGATCCCGAAGAGCGCATTTGCAGCTGTGGTGCGCGAGATTGGAGAGGGCCTCATGGAGAACGTGCGCTTCAGCACGGACAGCTTGAATGCGCTGCAAACGGCGGCCGAATGGCACTTGGTGGACCACCTTGCAGACACTTCGGCACTTGCGCATCACGCTCGGCGCGTGACTGTGATGCCAAAGGACTTTGCGATGCTAAGGCATTTGCACCGCGACTGAGTGCACGCAGTGCCTTGAAAACGGGCGAACTTCAGCACACAATTTGAAGCTTGAAGCCGAACCCCACGAGCCTGTGGAGGATCGAAGAGCCGCAACTTCGAACATCAGCAGGTGACGGACAGGGAGATAGGGGCTGCGGGTTTGGAGTTTACGCCAAGTTGAGGGTTTCGGAAGACAGTTTGCTAAACAGTTCCTTTGCATTGACAACGCAATACTTGGGGTCATTAAGACTTGCTTGCTCAAAAGAGCAGGGACAGGCTACTCTAAAAAATCTAATCACCTCAAAGCCTTAAACCCTCGTTCGCCTGCCTCGTAGGTCTCTGCCAGCAGGGGGAGGTCTTGCGTGAGCCGCGGCCCACGTCCTCCTCCTGCTGCCGTTTCGTCCGTTCGTGCGTTTCATAACAAAATAGGCATACCTCAGCAAGTGGGTGTGCATACCAATATAGAAGTTGGCGTAAACATATGGAGACGTTTACATTTTTTATTTACATATATTTGGATAGATCAGACTCGTGTTTCCGGCTGCAACAGCGCAAACCCCTGAACCCTTACGCCCTAATTCCTAAACCCCTGAGCACGCTTCAGAATCGAAGCAAAAGTCCTAGACTTGGTGCGGCAGGCGGCATAGCTGAGCCCTGTCCTGGTATCCTTTTGCACGGTTAGGATTTAAGGGAGGGTTAACGCGTACAGGTCCTTTGCGGCTCCGGCTGTGAGCCTTCAAGTGGTTCCGGGCTTCGCTTCTTTGTCTCTTAGAGGCATTTACTTCCGCCCTAAGGCTCCATGTACCCATATCGTATATACTTAAGCCGTAAAGTACCTACATAGGGACCCCTTTAAGGCTTAAGCATCTACTATAGCGGTACATGGAGCCGTAGGATAGCATGAATCATAGTATCCTCTCGCCCACCACGGCCTTCAACCCCCCACACAAACCCTGAAGCCATGAAGAGCCCAAACAAATCTAATCACAATGATAGCTCCATTTAGAGTGCATTTAACTCTGCTTCTAACAGTCTGATGGGCTTCCAAAGCGCGGTTTGTTCGCAGCGCTCTCTATTTTACGGGTCACCCCAAGCCCCGGCCAATCATCAATCCTAAACCGTAATTTGTAAGTAAACCGGAGCACGTTTCCGCCGGAGAGAGCACGAAGGATTGCGATCCCAACACCAGCTTCGTGGCCCATACGGGGGCCTTGTGCTTTGAGGTCCACAAGGGGGTGAAGGTTTCGGGTCTAGGGGTTCGTTAGGGGGATTATTCCGCGTGGAACCTGAAGGTTTAGAAAACGGTACAGTTGATTTATAAGGTACATTGAAACCTACATTTGTTTTTATCTATATTTATTTGTAGATCTCTTGAGAGGCTTTCGGGCTTTCTCACAGGCAATATCTACTTGGACCCTCAAGAAGCCCTAACCCTCGTTCGCCCGCCTCGTAGGTTTTGCCAGCAGGGGGAGGTCTTGCGTGAGCTGCGGCCCACGTCCTCCTCCTGCTGTCGTGTCGTTCGTTCGCGTTTACCCATATCTTTAATGATGTGCTATTTAATCTGCATATACTATCGATGTATGTACAGATACGCCTGACATGCCTGTTCCGAGTGTATGCATATGTGCATTGCCCAGAGACTCCAATATGCCTGAATTAAGGAATGTTCCAAAAATCATAATTGGGATCCAACTAATTTTGAAGGTATATTCCATAATTAAGGGATATTGGAGTCTCTGGATGCGCACAGTCGTTAAGGTGTTCATGCTTCTGTATTTTTACCGCTGTGCATACCACACAGGAACTCTTGTCGATGCTGCGGTTGGTGAACTGTTTGTTTGGCCAGAATTTCATAAGAAGTTGCTTCGAAGAAGCTTTGTGTTTGAACGTGGGCTTTTAAATGTTTGGTTGGATGTCGAGTGCTTTCTACACACCCGTCAAAGATCAAAACCTTAAATGCATTGAACTGCGCGAAGCAACCGCAAGCGGGGCCGAAAGCCGAACCGTGTTTCTCAAACTAAAAAAAACGAAACCTGCCACCAGGCTCTGCAGCACCGTGGACGGATTCACATTCAGGACATTTTGCTGACAAATTAAATTGGCGGCCCATCAAACCTCAGAGCTCAAGCCCTGGAGAGTGTCGGTTCTGTGCTTGTGAGGACTCTGGGCGGCGACGAATGCCCAGCGGAAAAAAAAGCTTGCGCAAGAAAACACTGTCTGAGTCAGAGGCTGTTTGGCCGTTGCCTGTGCGTAAAGTAACACTGGAAGCGGCACATGAGCAAAAAAACACTATCTGAGTCAGATAGGGCCCTTTCGGCCATTGCCTGCGCATGGCAAGGGTTGGAGTGTTGAACAAGGCTCCTTGGAGATGGGAGCAGTGGTACACGAGCAAAAAAACACTATCCGAGTCAGATAGGCTGTTTTTGTCGATGAATGCGTAAGAATGGGAAGCATCTACTTAGAATCTGCTTCTGAGTGAGGTTTTCGGTTCAAAGTCCTTTCACCCCGTTTAGATCAGAAGTTCTTCCCCTTGTTGCATGCAGACAACTGTGCTGCATGGAGAAGCCTGTCGAAGAGTCGATGGAGAAGTGTCGCCAAGCATACGACACCTACAGGTCTCAGATTCCTTGGTTGAGTCTCACTGAGTCGGGCCTTGGCTGCCGCATTTGCATGGCTTTTGAAACCAAGCGCAAAAAGTCAGGTCTAGCAAGCGGAACCTTTGTGCCGGGGCGGTACCTGTACAAAAGAACATTTCTGAGCCACGAGACCTCGTGTCGCGTGCATGGGGAAGCCTTGGCCTGTGAAAGTAGCAGCGGTCTTGCACCACAGGAATGTGAAATCTCCAGAGCAGGGGCAGCAGGGAATGTCCCAAGCACGCCGACGGCTGCTGGGGGAAATAGCAGCACGTCGGTGGAGGCTTCTCCAACGAAAAGCTCGAAAACAGGTTCGGACCAACGGAGTCCGAGCAAGAGCCCGTTCAAGGTCCAGCCTTTCCTACCCCACGTGCTGGCAGGCTACACTGTCTGTCAACGTGGGTGGTCAAGTTCAGTGTTCTCAGAAATGATAGAGTTTGGGCAGATGTTGACAGACGATGTTTCGGGTGGACACGATGGTCCAGAAATCCTATCTCAAATCCGAGACATGATCTGGCAAGAGTTGCGGGTAGATGTGATGCAAAAGTTGAGCCAGAGCCCAGCTCTTTGCGTGTCTATAGATGAAAAGGATGCGAAGTTGGTGGTTCTGCTCACGTACTTGGACGTCAGCGCAGAACGGCGAGAGACCATTCCTGTCGCCTATCACATGCTACCAGGTCTGGAAGCGTCTGATGTTGCGGACGTAGTGAAGCAGGCAGAGAATCCATAAATCCGAAAAGAGCACTATCTGGGCCGGATAGGCTGTTTTTGCAGGAGTGCAGGCTACAAAGGTCAGATCCACTTGAAAGCACCCAAAAAGCACTATCTGGTTCAGATAGGCCGACTACGAGGTGATTTTCTGTGTTATAGGTGCAAATCCGATAGGAGGGCCCTCTCGGTTCCTGTTCTGCTGTTCCACAGGTCTTACAGCAGTGGGGCGTGTGCACAAAGAGATTGGTGGCGATGGCTGCGGATGGGGCATCCTTGAATGGAACCATGAGGAGCATGGAAAACATTAGCGGAAAGAATGTCGCAGCGGAGCTGCGGAAGTGGGTGGAGCATCCTCTCGTAACGATTCACTGTGCTGCTCATCGACTCAACCTGGCAGTTTCTGCTGCGTACAAAGGAGAGTCATTGCACAGCCTTGAGAGTGTGATTTCCACATTGTTCCGGCATGTGAAGCAGCATCCAGCGTGTCAGATAGACCTTCAATTTTGGAGCGAAGTCACATCAGAGCCACTCCTGAGTTCTTTGGCGGTTGCCAAAACTAGATGGCTGAGCCAGTTAGCTCCAATGAAGAAGTTGTACAGGTCCTTCAATGCTGTCTTGGCTCACCTCCACTATGCTTTCTCGCATCACTGCGAGAAGGAAAGCAAGAAGACTGTGAGATGGATGTTTTTGCTACTGTGCTCATGGCCGACAAAGGTGTTGTTGGCAGCCGTCGTTGACATCCTTTCCCTTTGCAGTGCCTGCAAAAACTCGTTAGAAGGTGACATTTCTTTGGATGAAGTTGCGACCAGTGTGAGCAGGCGGCTTTTCCTGATTGAGCAGTATTTCTCTAGAGGCCCAGGTTTTGATTGCAGGATTGCTTGCGGGTGCCCATCAGGTTGAAATGTGAACTGGCCCGGTATTGTGAGAAAGAATCTGTCAGCGCCTATGCCTTGGCAACAGATTCAGGGGAAGTAGCTGCTGGGAAAAGCAAGATTGAAGAGTGCTGCGCTGAGTATCGGGCAATGCGGGGGTCCAAGCTTCGGCTTCGATACGATGTTACTGGTGGCAGTTCCAAGGAATACTGGTGCGAAATGAAGGATTTGGGGTCACCTGCCGATATCAGAGAACTTTTTCGGACAATACGTTCCTTCGCGGAACAGACGATGGAGAACTTGGTGGTGCGGTTTGGTGATGTGCCTTTGGTGCTGGCTCACCAAATCTTTTCTCCGCGATGGTCCTTCAAACAGCCAGAGCTGGTGGAAAGCGCCAAAGCACTTGCAACATTTTGGAAGGTGGATGAGCAGGTGCTGGTGAGTCAGCTTCGAGCAGCCTTTGCCATTCGGGACTCCTTGATCTCAGAGGACAGCACTCTCAAGACGGCAAGATCCAAGGAGGTGTGGCTTCGAGTCTTGTCCCACATGACCAGCAGTGAATCCGATGCCGTGGCACGTGACATCATCGCCTCGTTCCTGGTTATTCAACCACAGAGTGCTGCATGTGAGCGCGCTTTCGCAACTGTTGAGGAGTACAAGCCGCTTGGCGGACATGTTTGTGACAGTCCCAAAGAACACCCTATCTGATCCAGATAGTGCTCTTTTCGCACTCCCCATTAAAAGACCCTTTCTGATCCAGATAGTGCTTTTTTCGCAGCCAAAGGAAGCACTTGGGATGCGATTCCACGGCGCCACTCTTGCAACAACAGTTGTTGATCGGGGCATGCGCAAGGCCTGTCAAGGAAGCCAGGGCCAGCGGCTTCATCAAACGGGTCCTGGGCAGGTTCAGCGCCACAGAGCGACGGACGGCTTTGCGCCGGAGGCGTGCTCCAAGGAGCGACAAGGGGAAGCCTCGGCCAAACTACAAACGCAAGAAGCGTGTCGCTCAGCTCACACAGTCCAACAAGGCCAGACTTCTTGTGCGAAGTGGGGATGCTTCTGTACAGATGGTGGCAGCTGACAATGTGCAGCTTTCCGAGATTTATGCGGAGTTGTCTCCGCCTAAGAAAAAAAAGAAAGATGGACTGCCGGATCCCTGACATTGCTGTCTTGAGTGTCAGTCCAAATTGACTGCACGGGGACAGACAGCTTGGGAATCTGAGCTCGCAACCAAAAAAGCAAAAAAAAAAAAGCAGTCTTTCTGCTTCTACTCCCACAACGACCACTACCACCACCACCACCACCACCACCACTACTACTACTACTACTGCTGCTGCTGCTGCTACTACTACTACTACTGCCACTGCTACTGCTACTGCTACTGCTACTACTACTACTACCACCACTACAACAACAACTACTACTACTACTACCACTACTTCTACTCTTCTACAACAACTACTGCGACCACTTCGACTGCCACTACACCTACTACACCTACTACTACTACTACTACTACTACTACTACTACTACTACTGCTTCTACTGCTTCTACTGCTGCTACTGCTGCTGCTACTGCTGCTACGACTGCTATGCTGCGACTGCGACTGCTACGACTTTTACTGCTGCTGGAGCTACCACTGCTACTACTACAACTACAACCACTACTTCTACTACTAGTACTACTACTACTGTCACTTGTACGGTGACGGACGACTGCGACTGCTTTGACTTGACGGCTTGCCACTTCTGCTGCTCCTCCCATTAGCCACACAGCCCCAAGCCCGCTAATTTCGAATTTGAAATTAAATAGCGACCGCTACGGGAAATTATCCGCGACGTCACCCGCCTAATTTCGAGTTGTAATTATTATAATTTGTGCAGTTTTTATGCCTGGGTTACTCTTGGGTCTAGAATTGGTTAAACCAAAAAAAGGAACTACAATGGAGACTACAGGTAGGGGTGTTGAGCCAGCGGCCTCTTGGTTTGGGGTACAAGGGTTAGATGGTTGCGGTTTAGGCTCCAGGGCTGGGTTTAGGGTTTAGGGTTTTAGGGTTTAGGGTTTAGGGTACTGCTCAGGCTTTCTGAGATTCCAACCTTAAGGTTTTTGCATCTTGCCAATTATTACTGATTGTATCAATAGTACAGAAGAATAATGATAGTATTGGGACTGATAACTGCAATAGTGACAAATGCACCCAGTATTCGTAATGATCGCGACTACCATAATAATCGTAACAATTGCAACACCAGTAGCAACAGTCATGACAGTGATACTAGTGAGACTAGTCAGTAGAAGCGGTGGTGGTGCTGCTGGTGCTGGTGCTGGCCGGGGGTGCTGGTGGTGATGTTGTTGGTATTCAAGATCGTTCTCGCCAGATTCATGAGAATGGGTTCGATGTTGTCGACTCTTGAACGAAGGGTGCGGTTACGGTGGTCGCAGCGCGGGTCACCACTAGAATCGCCGCTGGTATGAATGCTGTCATTGCCATGATGATTGTGATGAAGACGATCGTGGTGGTGATGATGAGGACGATGACTCTGGTGACGATGACGAGGATGATACTGATGATGATGATGATGATGATGATGATGATGGCGATGGTGGTGATGCTGATGGTGATGGTGACCTGGTAGTATGAATTATGCGCATGTTTGCTATTGGCACGAAGGCACTATTCGTCCATTCATACCTCTACTCCATGTTCGTACTCCCAACGCGACCGGTCAGAAGCAGTCGCATGAATTAGAAGCAACACATTGACATGGGTGTGAGCTGAAACATGGCAACAGCAATCGCAAGATCAACGTGACAGCAGTCGTATGTCGCATGTCCAGCGGTAGCAGTTGTCATACGCATACCTAATCGTGGCACGGATAAGGATAGCGTGGTAGCGCGAGTAATTGTTCAGAGCATCATGGTTGCTCCTGCTGCTGCTGCTGCTGCTGTTGATGAGAGTCTTAGATCAAATTGAATCCCTGAGCCTGCACTTATAGAATATTCGCCTGAGCGCGGCCATTCTGGAGAAGCCCTATTCTGTTGTTATGCCAGCGATTCATGCAGGAAGTGCTCCAGGACGAAGAGCTGTCTGTTTGCGGCATCTGTGACGCTGGCATGGCCGTTATCCTTCTAATGGCCGTTGTCACATGATACTTATGTAGTATGTATAAATGCAGAGAGAGTTTGTTTTGTTTATGTTGGCACGTAAAGGTGGTTGTTTTTCCTAACAATATAAGCTCCAACGAATGTCAAAGCCGCCGCACCTAAGGGCCCCTCTACAACAGGGTGGCTCTGAACCCCACCTATCCCACACCCTAAGCCCTCAGCTCCCATACCGCACACGCTTAACGCCTCAACCTCAAAACCCTATAAAGGGAACTCCAGAAAGTTGGAATATGGTTTCAGGGTAGGATACCCTATAATTTACCATAGAAGGGTTAGGACAATCATATTCCAACTTTCTGGCTTTTACCTTTGAACCGGTTAGAGTCAGTAGAATCCCCACAGGAACTCCACTCGACCCTATCGAGGCCTTCTGAAGGAATCCTCCAAGGAAACCTAGAAAAAGCTTCCTTTTTTTCGGAATCCGTAGAAGGAGCAAGCCCTAAAACCCCCAAACACCTCAACGCCAAACCCTAAACCCTTAAACCCCTACACCCTTAACCCCTAAACCCGAAACCCCTACACCCTTGACCCCTAAACCCTAAACCCCTAAAGCCCCAAAACCCTAAACCTCCAGAGCTGCCCTGTAAACACGCCGCCAGATCGCCGCGGCTCGGACGTGGCCCGTGAGCTCTGGCACCGGCCTAAAGCTGACAGGGCTTGGGGTTTAAGGGTTTAGGGTTTAGGGTACTTCCTGGACCCCGAAACTATGTAGAATAATAGCCGGTTATTGGTTTTGGTCCATTATTTTACCTACTTTTGGGGGTCTAGGTTGCAATAATTCAGTACCCTAAGGCTCTTAGACCCTCGTAGTGGCATGGCAACATCCCAAACCTCAGCCCCCAAAGCCCAAACCCTCCCTCAGAAAGCCCTTGACCCGGCTCGGAGCCTCAGGGTATAAAGTAAAAGCCAGAAAGTTGGAATATGATTATCCTAGCCCTTGTATGGTAAATTATAAGGTATCCTACCATGAAACCATATTCCAACTTTCTGGAGTTCCCTGTGCTACAAAATATTCAGTTGGGACCCTAATGCAGAGAATTCCTTGCGTTCGGCAAGGTTCCCTGGCATCCAGGAAAAGTTCGAAGAGCACGACGAGGCTGGGCGAACTCCGAAGCTCGAGCATATTTTGCATTCGGGGCATAGGGGTTAGTTTTTTCTCCGAGTTTACGGATCCCCTAAACCCTGAACCCTACGCTGCTAGAACAGTGGTTTGTTGTTGTCTACTTTTTTGCTCTCGGGCTCCTTCTCCAAAACGAGGAGCCCCTAATGGTCCAAGTGCCTAATCATCGTATACTCTCCCAACTTAGGGCATCGGAATGATATAGTAGGCTCTTTACAGGCTGCACGTGAGCAGTTTTGGGGATCACGCCGCCATGTCGCACTTTGAGTCAACAATCCCCTGCAGTCGCAGGTCTTGGTAAGGTACCGCCAGTCAATGGTGGCCCAAGTTGACTTCTTGAGCCCTGGAACACACATTCCCGGGACCCGAAACCCCAACCCCCCAAATACCGAAACCCAAAAGCTCTGAAACTTGAATTCCACAAAGGAGTTCCAGGAAAGCTGGGACCCCAACACAGACCGCAGAACCTATGATCCTCAGCATCAGGATCTCGATGTTGAAATCGAAGAGAAGCGTTGCTTTAAGTGTTGGAAGCAGCCATAGTTGCCAAGCAAAGCCGCTTAGCCCTACAGAACATGCCCATGGAACTCTTTTAGAAGACAGTGTAACCCGAAGCCCAAACCCCAAAACCCCTAAACCCTGATTGCCTAAAGCCCCAAAACCCCAAGCCCTAAAGCGCCCTATGCGACTCTACAAACTCCTCAGTTTCAGAAGCCCCTCTGAACCCCTCGGCGAGGTCGTTTTGACTTTGTCCAGCGCCATGATCTTCGCCGAGAAGTACTTGGACCCTTTGAGGGATATAAGGCTAATATGAGGATTTCAGACATCAGGAGAGTTCTGGGGATATAAGGCTGATATAGGGACGGCGATCTAGTGTTTGGGTTGTATGGGGTTTGGGGTTGACGGTTTAGGTTAAACTCCACTTTACTATTTGATCTCAATTGTCTACTCTCGTGAGGATGGCGCAAAGGGCCAATTTGCAGGTGCTGCGTCCGCGCGGGCCCGAGGGAAGCGAGGTGAAGGGTTCTGGGTTGGTTGGTTCAGGGTTTAGGGTTCGGGACCAGTTCGGGATTTTCAGAAAACAAGGTTTATAATGATGCTTAAATAATGGTTTTGTTTAGTCATTCGAATGTGTCTTACGAAGCCGGTTTGATACGGAGAAATGACCTCAATTGGTGTGTGGGGCTCGTATGCTTCACGAAGCAAGACATTTGCACATTTACGGCCTAACGGATAGAGGTTAGCATTCCGGGTGTAGGGTGTCTGATAGATTTTCGGGAGTTGGGTTCCGGGTTCAGGATTTGGGGTGTAGGGCTCAGGGCTTAAAGGTCTCGGGTTGGCAGTCAGCTAGCCATGTCCAAGTTACAATTGAGACCTCTGTCCACAACTCCACCGCAACACACACACACATACATAAATGGGGGTACCCAACGACAAAGACACTCTAGCAAGAGCATGATACACATAAATGTATAAATGTGTATAAATGTACAAGTCCATGTAGATCAATGTCGAGGTGCTCGTAAGCCGGCATGTGTCCAGGCGTGCAGGTGTACATCTAGTCTGTCCGTTCGTCCCTGTCCGTCCGTCCGTCCGTAGATGCATGCATGCATGTATGACAGTGTATTCTTTCGTATATGTATGTAATTGTATGTACGTATGTATGTAAAAGTCTATGTATGTATGTATGTATGTATGTACATACGTATGTACGTGTGTATGTATGTATGCATATGAATGGATGAATGGATGTACGCTCGTATGGTCTATACACAAGTGTATGCTTGCATGCACGTGCATGCATGTGTGCAGGTATCATGCATGCAAGTAAGAAAACAAGTGCGTGTATGCAGACATGTCGGCAGGTAGACACGTCTGCACGAATGTAGGTATGTGTAGAGAGACGGGGAGGAGGGAGAAGGAGGGAGGGAGGGAGGAAGGGAATAATTTACGCCCGCAAAGACCGGTACAACAGTCACGCGGGCCTCTACACTGGATCCGCAAGCCCGTCACCAGCTCCTAGCACTTCGGAGTTCTAAGACCCCACAGAGACCCAAGGGCTCTCTCTAGGAGATTCCGGACCCTCCTAATCCTAAGGAGATACCTGGACCCTTAGGGTAAGCCCTTGCCAGCCACATCGAAGGTGATGGACGCGAGAAAGCTGCACCAGCATTACCTGAGCTTTATGTGGGCTTGGGAGGTCACCGCTCCCTTCTGCTGCTAAGTTTTGAGACCCTATGGCCGTGACTGGTAGTGGGGCTTGCGGAGTTGGGGGCTTTACTTACCTTGTCAGAAGCTATCTGAGTCGTTGCGAATCGAAGGTGTTGCAAGCCCCACCGACCCCACATTGTTGCACCCTCGCAGTCAGTTTCAAAAACTCAGGTCTTGCGACCAGCTACAACTACCACTGCTTGGACAATGACAATAACCTGCCAAGACGATGACGACGGCGGCGACAACGACGACGACCAATACGACTACTGCTAGTTGCTGTTCTGTTTCTACGACGAGGACTACTGCTTGTTGTTGCTGCTGCTGCTACTACTACCAATGCTGCTGCGACAACGCAAGCGGGTGTGACCTTTGTCATGTGTCGTGCAGAAAGTAGGGCATGTGCATCATCTGACATTGGGTTTCACTGAAGAGCGTCCATTCTTGTGGCTTGCGTCCGGCATTTGTGGCCTCTCCCCCACCTGTCACGACAACCAGGTCCTTTACGCACGAACCCCCCAGCATGAGTCTGCGCCCAAGGCCCCGTACCTTGAACAGCAATTTTTAAACTCACGGTTTAGGGTTTAGGGTTTAGGGTTTAGGGTTTAGGGTCACCATCCCCAGGGACCCAGGACATAGGACCGAAACTCTGCCGGTGTCGCCTCGCAGAATAAATCCCACGAAGATCTGGAGCTCGACCTTGAGTTGGAGTTGGACGCCCCTGGGATGATTAGAGTTTAGGGTGTAAGGGTTTAGGGTTTTAGGGTTTAGGGTTGAGGGTGTGGGGATGGTAAGAAGTACCTGAACCCCCGAAAAGTCTTAAAGTAGGCAAAAGAATTGGCCCGAAACCCACAAAAGGCCATTATTCTACATACTTTTGGGGTCCAGGTCAAAGAAGCAGACTGGACTGATGCCGCAACCTCTAACACGTTTGCTGCACTAATGTCAATGCCATTGCTACTATCACCACTGCCACTGCAAAAGCGACAGCTGGTGCCACTGCTACAACTACTGCGAATTACAGCTGCTGCTGATGCTCCTGCTGCTGCTGCTGCTACTAATACTACTACTGCTGCTGCTGCTGCTACTACTGCTACTACTGCGACTACTACCGCCACAAGCACAAGCACTACCACGACCCCTGCCACCACCACTGCTGCTGTTACTACGTCGACAGTGTTATGGTTAGTATCGTCTCGTTGATTGTTACGGCTGCAGCTGCTGCTGCTTACCCTAGTTCTTTTACGAGTACCTCAGGAGACCTGACCTATCTGTATCAGGACCGCAATTTCAGTGTCGCTACAGAAGGTCCTGTGGATGTCCTAAGGAAGACTCTAAGACAAGGGCATGTGGGGCATCCAGGTGGATCGGCATCCTTTCTTGCGGTGGCTTTTGGCATGAATTTCCCTCGAATGCTCATGCATCACAGGAGTTCGAGCCTTGTCTCGACGCTGCAAACCCTTCGCCCCCTGAGGCCTTACAGTAGCACAAAAACCCGAACTCTAGACTCTACTGTAGCTTTGGAATGGCCAACCCTAGTACCGTAAAAACAGTGTCTCAGGCTGGTGAGGCACCCCCCCCCCCCCGCCCCGTTCTGGCAAGACAGCTCCTGAAGCCCCAGGCCCATGTTCATCAGAGCCCGATGCATCCTTAGCGCACGGGACTATGGTGCGAGAACTAATCGTAGAAAAAGAAGCATGCCTCTAGGACACTCTGCAGCCGTATGTAAGGGTGTAGATGTGAGAAGAAACATGTGTGCATTTGCTTTTGTGTGTTTTTGGCCGCCTCAACGGCACTTCCAAGTTTTGACTTCATGGCGCTCCTGATCTATAAATGATGGGCACTCGGCCCCGGATAGGACACGCCGAACCTTAGACAATCCTAAACCCTACCTAGAGGCTCCATAGTAGCCCTTTTTGGGGTTCATGTCTAGAATCCTATAAGGTAGTCCCCAAAAGGAACTACTATGGAGCCTATGGGTACATATTTGGTAGTAGCTCTTTTTGGGGGTGCATATTTGGAGTCCTATAAGGTAGTCCCAAATGGGTAAACCCATTATTCATAAATGGAGTGTCCAAGGCTCGCGCAAACCGCCACGCGATGGTCCGCATTTGAGCCCACGAGAGCCGCTCAGACAAAACTGAAAGAGCTCCACGAAGGTGTTTCCGAATTCCCAAAACTAAGGGTACCTTGTGTCATTTTGGGGTCCTTATATAAAGTAAGGATCCTACTATTTAGGTACTATATTAGGGTTCCCCATTTTCGGAAACTCCCACGTGTAACTGGGGGGCCCCCTGTTCGGAGATCAACGATCCGTTCGGGATACTATAGTGGCCTCAATGATTACCTAGACTATTTTGGGTGTTCCTTACTATGATGATAGTATAGTGGACCCCAAAATCCTATTCTAATTATTAAGGCCCCGATGTTAGGCTTTTCGCAACTCCAATATGGGTGTCCATTCCAGGATTTGCCCACTGTAGCCGGTCAGGAAGCAGAATACGTTCCATCCGAGAATGCATCCTAGCCTTAGCCCTCAAAACCAAAACCCTGCTTCATGAACCAAGTTAGGTCAGCCAGCGGCTGTAGACTATTGGCCACTCGAGTTCTTTCTCAGACGACTGGTGGACATGGCAGAACCAATGCCGAGTTTCAGCACTGCAGAAGTAGAATCCGTAGCTGCAGCATAGCAATGCCAGAAGGCAGCGGCAGTACCAATTGTCGCGTGAGGAAGTATATTCTCGACAGTAGTGATACAGAACCATGTATCGCTCATGCTAAACTACCATCGTCTTTTTCGTCCCGTGCTCGGAAAATACATCCGAACTCTGATTGTTTTAGATCCCAATCAAACAGGTTAGGCCATGGCTGGCTAAGTGTTCAGACCCACTTCTGTAATTTCTTGATGCATACGGAACCGCTCTCCATCAATGTAGGGGCCGCTTAGGATTTCGGATTTAGGTGTAGAGTTGGGGATGTCGGGCCAGTATAGCCAGAGGCCCCGAATTAGTTCCTTTTTGGGATTACTCTATAGGATTCGATATATGAACCCCAAAAAGGAACTACTTTGGGGCCTTGGGGTAATGGCTTCTTGTTCAGGATTTAGGGTCTCAGTAACTTCGGGTCAGTCGGGTTTGAGGTCAACGGCCTAGGGTTTAGGGTTTAGATGATGGTAAAGGTGGCCGTGTCGTGTTGGCAGTGCAGGGGCCTCCTGTGATGCTCACGAGTCATGACATGTGGGTGGTTGTCAAAATTAGGGTCAAAAAGGGACCATAATTTTGACAACCACCCATGTGTTTTTCCTTCTTTGTCTTAAAGCACGGTGGTGATCTGTTCTGAGTTCAGTGATAGTGATGGTGCTGATTTACTCGGCACTCAGGTTAGTGATGGTGGTGGTCATGAAAATAAGATGATGGCAATGGAAATGTTGGCAGTCTCAGAGGCTGTGGGGCAGTAGCGCCATCATCCCACACACAGGAGATGACCGAGCAATTGCATCTTTTGGTTGTCATTCCTCGACCCAAACCCTGATGCTCCTTGTCAATATTCTTGGTTTCCACGGCCCCCCCCCCAGCCTTTCTCCAATGCCTTTCGTCCAAACCATGTATCCTCGCAACACACAAGATGCGAACCTACTGGAACCTAGATAGTTGTGGATGGGTCTTAATTCGGTTTCTTCTCATATATATATATATATATATATATATGTATATGTTTATTTATATACATATATACATACATTCATACACGCATGCATCTCTGTAGGGAGCCTTAACAAGGACAGCAGCCTCAACCTACCGCCCCCAAAAAGTCTGAACCCTGAGACCCCACCGCCCGGTAGTCTCTGAATCGGAGAAACCCAGAACACTGAAATCCAACCCTAAACCCTAAGCCCTAAACCCCAAACCCTAAAGCCCTAAACCATCCCCGTGCAAGCCGGAAATCCGAAGATTCAAAGGCTCCGGCAATTCCCAGCCTTTCGCTGTAAAGCCGAAACCTAAGCCCTAAACCCCAACCCTAGATCCTAACCCCCCAAACCTAAGCCTTGCCTGGGCCCTTAAGTGTCTACATTTTTAAAGGCCTTTACAAGGAAATTGACAAGAGGAACCCCCCAAAAAAAGATTGGTTCTCTAGGGTCTCGGTAAACCCTATAATTCCTCAGCTTACCCCAAGGCCCCAAAGTAGTTCCTTTTTTTATGGGGTTCATATATAGAACCCTATAAGGTAATCCCAAAAAGGAACCACTATGGAGCCTATGGGTATACCCTATATACCCTAAGCTCGGCCCTAAACCCTATATGCCCTAAACCCTAAACCCTAAACCATATATACCCTAAGCCCTAAACCATATATACCCTAAGCCCTAAACCATATATACCCTAAACATCGGCTCACGTTGAGGACCGGGCTCCTACCGAGGCTGGCTCTCAGATCTTGCAGCACACGTAAAATCAAAGGGGAAAAGGAGGGACCCTTAATGGGGACCCCTACCCTATAATGGGTATATAATGGCTATATTGAGGGTCTATACCTAGGGGTCCTTATTAAGGGTCCCTCCTTTTCCCCTTTGATAAAAGGTTGAGGGCTGATGGGCGCTCCTGGTCGGGGTATTAGGGATTTAGGGCTCAGGAGTTGAGGGTTTTAGGTTTTTGGGCTTAGTTTTTTAGGTTTTGTATGCTGGGGCAAGCGCTTGTGAATGCACTCCATCATGTTGTTGTATAGTATATTGACTGTTCTAGTTTGAGATGGGCTTGTTCGTCGGTGCGATCGGATGTTGGCATGTGATGACATACCCTGCTTTTTCGAAAGGGTATTCCTAAACCCTAAACCCTAAACCCTAAACCGTAGAAAGCCTGAGTTATGTCACAGGCTCCGAGCAGTGTCTGGTCCCCAAACCTTGAACGCTAAGAGTCATTATGGACCCTAGAAAGACTTAGCTCGATGCCCCTGGGCCCGCAACACCCGTCTCCAAAGCGACAGTGCTTGAGGCAGAAGCCACGACCTCAAAAACGCGCTAGCTGCAAACTCCGAGCGCTGCACTTCAGCATGTTCGAACTTCAGAAAACAGCAAGCATGGAGAGCATAATGTATTTAGACAGACTCCTCAAAACAGCAAAGCCTAAAGCCTCGAGTTTTCAGCTTCACCCTGAGCTGCACAAAAGGCGCCCACGCGGGAAATGCTAAGAAGCTATGAGTGGAGTGCTCCACTTGGCCCAGGGAAGGCACCCGACCATGCCCTGGGATGGTGCAGAGTGATGATACAAGATGCTCTACTAGGACCCAGAGTAGGCCCTTATTCCCTTTTTTAGGGTTCAGGTTCCCTTATAAGCCCCTTTAAACCAAAAAGGGCATCCTTTTTATGCCTGGGTTACTCTTGGGTCTAGTCTAGGGGGTAGACAACGTTTTCGCGCACCAAAACCCCGGAGTCAAGCACCAAAACCCCTGCTTCAAGCACCAACCTGCTTCAAGCACCAACAAGCCCTGGTTCCGCCACGACCCTAAGCTCCCCCCACCCTCAACCCCCCTTCCCTGCACGAAAGTTTCCCTGTCCTGCCTACCCGACCGCACCCTATCCCCCTCCCAACTCTACCCTACCCCACCCTAACCTAGCCTGCCCTTCACCACTTCACCACCCCACCTTTCCACACCCTCCGACCACCCTTACCTCCTGTGTGCCGCCTTTGACCCCATTCTGCTAACTGACCCTTACCCTCTGCCCTTGCTGCCCTGCCCCACCCTACCCTATAAACCCCTACCTACCTTGTCCAACCCGCCTAGCCCGAAACCCCATCCACCTCCCTTCTCTCCGTAACTGCATCCACCGGCACCAGACCACAAAACCTATCGAACCCCATCACCGCAACTTCTTGCAGCAACCATCCACCCACAGCACCCGAAAAAAAACCCACCAAAACCCCAACCCCATCTCATCTTCTGCTACCCAACCCTACTGTACCCCACTGTGAAGAACCATACCCTGCCCTACACCGACCCTGGCGTACCGTACCCTCCCCTCCCCTACCCTGCAAAACCCACCCAACCCAACACACGCGCACAACCCCGCTTTACCCTACCCCACCCTAACCTACCCTGCCCTAACCAACCCTTTCCTGCCAAACCCTAATTGACCCCGCCTGCCAACTCAACCCCCTGCCCCACCCTAGCCTTTAGGCCCCTAACCCACCCTACCCTAATCGATCCTGCCAAACCCTGCCCTGCCCCTACCCAACCCTTTCCTGCCAATGCTCCACACAACTCCAACCACCCGCACGCACACCCTACCCTACCCTAAACTTTACCCTACCCCATCCTGACCTACGTCAAATCCTAATTTAACCTACCCTAACCTACCATTACCTCCCCTGCCTGCCTGCCCTTGACCCCATTGCGCGAACTCAACCCACAGCAGCCGCACAACCCTACCCTAATCTTCCCCGCAAAACCTACACAACGGAACCCAACCCTGCCCTACCCTACCCTGCAAAAACCGGCCCAACTCTTCGCCACAAAACCTACAAATTCCAACCCACCAAGCAACTACCCAACCCTACCCTCCCCTACCCTACCACACCCTACCCCAAACTACTCTTCGCCCTAACCAATCCTTGCCTGCACCCTAAACCCCAAACCCGAAACCTATCACCCGAACCTCCCCTGCCTGCCCGAACCTGCCCTCACCTACCCTATCCCTCACCTGACCCTAACCAACCCTTTCCTGCCTACCACAAAACCTACACAACTCCAACCACCCACAAGCACACTACCCTACCCTCCCCACCCTGACACACCCTGTCCTACCCAATCCAAACCAACCCTCCTAATTTAACCTACCCTAACCTACCCTACCCGAACCTACCACCGCAAGCAACTACCCACCCTCCCCTACCCTACCACACCCTACTCTACCCCAAAATACTCTTCACTTGACCCTACCCCACCCTGACCTACCCTGCCCTGCAATCCTTTCCCGCCAAACCCTAAACCTTTTTTCCTGTCCGAACCTACCTTGACCCCATCCTGCCCTACGCTAACCTACCCTATCCCTCGCCTGACCCCCAACCCCTTTCCTGCCAAACCCGAACTCCCTAGCCAACCCTAACCTACCCCACCCTCCC